TCATGTACTTTGGCGAATGCTCTAGTAATTACTAGATACAGGGTAGGCTGGTATATAAAAGAGGAGAAGGTAATGCGTGTGAGTTTATAGTGAGTAATTGAACTGCAGTCACGGGGTATTGTTGAAGTTAACGTTCGTTCGTTATAGTATTTGTTTTAGTGCGAGTATTGAGATTAAGTGTATCGCAGAGTTATATTCGGAAAGAATAAACCAGTTTTATTAAGTAAAGACTTGTGTCACTTAAGTTTCGTCGGAACGAAGTTACGGAAAATCAATTAACAAACGGAGACGTAACAATAATAATAAACTCATTTCTTATACAGTGCTCCTCTAGCTGTTGCCAGCCATTCAAAATGCTGACTAGTTTCTACATTATTTGAAAGCCAGGTGAAAGAGATAAGACTTCAAAAGACTTTGGGCATTTAAGTTTGATAGGGAGAATGTTCCAAAACTTAGGAGTGTAGGCAGAAAAAGCATCATCAACAAAATGTTAAAGAGAAAGAGAGAGTGAGGAAAACAGTACCAGTATTAATATATATACCAACATTGACCCACAAAACATTTGCAGTAGTTTTCATACCCTTGCTTGAACTTTCATTATTCTAGCATTTTCATGCCAAGCATTTAAGTTATGCTTTCTTGCAGGCATTACAGTAAACTCTCCTACACTGTGGGTTTGCTTATACATGCAAAAATAAAAGTAACCAATTATCTACCAAACACAGAAAATTCGATTATGCACAGCTCGCAAACATGTGAGCGCTCTAGATCGTTACAACTCTCTCAACACAAGCTCTGTCATTTTGCCCGACCACGTCTCATTTTCGTACTTGTTTAAAGTCTTTATAGATTTAATATTTCTGATTTTCAATATAATATGTATATCTTCACAACATTATAACATTATAAGTCTTTCACATACAAAACATCATATTTTTTAGTGAAGTATTTTTAATTAACTAAAATAAAAATTAATCCATGAATATATTGAACATTTGTTTTGAATAATCCTTGTGCAAAGTAATTTTCATGTTAAGATTAAAAATATTTTTTTCATCTCAAAAATCTCAAAATTCCTTTGTGTAATCTCTAAAACCCCTTAAAGATACATTTCAAACGTTTTTTAAGTAAAACTTTATATTTCATCTGTTATTTTCTCTACTCCATACAGGATATACCAACCTTGTAACCACCAAAAAAAAAGAAATTGAAATAAATCTAAATTACCCTTTTTGTCTTTCTAAAATGACTTCAACTTGTAACAGGAAACTACATTCATTTATCCTAAGTTGCTTTAAGCTCGTAACACTATACATCTATTTATAATTACATTTTGTAATTAAATAATGCACTAAAGAACATAGACTGATAGCATGCAAAAAGTAGAGAATTTCCCCTAACTCTCAAATTTTTTTGACTTTCCAACTATGTGACAAGAGTCGTTACAAATTCATCCAAGCTAGTCATTAACATTCCCATGGGAATTATTAGTGAAATTGACATTTATCTGTTCAGAACACAGCATAATATAATACATCATTTGATAGATGCAAATACTTACTTTCTCTCGGTTATAGATGATATATAATTAAACATAAGAGAGAACTATTAACGAATCCTGAAAGAGAGGTTGTGATTGGTTGGTGTGGCAGGAGGGGTCTGATTTTCTATTTAATAGCTCTGTAACTAAACAAATTTGAAGACAATAAAAATTATGCTTTGTCTGAGAAATGATTTTATAGTGAGTAATTATACCCATTATACAGTTACCCATTGCATTGTCACCAGTAAAAGACCTTTCCGGATGGAAGGACAGATGGGGATTTGTGCACGTTCTTTGGGTTTCCTCTATGCAAATTCTACTCCCTTCAAGTGGAGCACAGTAGACCCTTGCCAATTTCCTGCTCCCAGCCACTGGGGTGATGGACCATGGAGAATCCTCACTGACTGAGACCATGCTAAAACAAGGGGTCTTTCTATGCTGAAAAGTGGAACAGGGATGTTTCCAGAGTACATTAGGTTCCCGTTATATATTGCATCGCTCTACATTGTTTTATTATTAGAACGTTCACCAATTACTACCCATGTATCAAACAGTATTGCCTTGTTTCATTGCTTGAGCATTCCAATGTTGTTGACTACTTTTCTAGGTGTAGTGTTTACCAATTACTACCAATATATTTGAAACAGTGTTATCTTGTTTCATTACTAGAGTGTTTACTGGGCGGAATGTGATACATCGTCCACTGGCCAAGATGGAGGAGGATGTAAACATGTTGTGTTAATGTGACATTATCTCAGCATGTTGTTTTTTCTGCTGCAGAACAGTTTTGTTTCCACCCTTCCAACATGGCTCCAAAGTGGTCACCTTGCCTAGAAGCCGAGAAAAACAATAACTTTGGTACTAAACAGTTTAGTCCTTTAAAGTTCTCACATGCATGTTTTGTATAGTACACTTTAGTTAAAAATGATGTTACACCCTTTAAAAAGTTATTCAAGAGTGGACTAAAATCTACCCCATAATACATGTAAAGATTGTGTTGCTTAACATCATTTCAAGTGTACATCCCACTTTTCAGGAATGCATATATATATATGTTTAGTACACACCACCCCGACTTTATCTAGATACATCAAAATCTATGAGTGGATTTCAGACACATAGCTCTCTTACTCTGTTTTTCCTCTACCTACTCCTTCAAGTACATGACCCTGCCTGTAGAATAATTGATATTTCTTAATATCCAACTGTGGTGTGTAACTTGTTAACCCTACTCCCACAGCTGGTGACAGGCTCATAATCTGATGCTTGAGTGGTGATTTCTTAATTATCCTTATTATTTGTGTCTACTGTGGTGCTCTCTTTTCATGGCTGGCATGGGCCCTAGGTATCTGACGGTCGAGGAGTTATGCATGGATATTTTTCATGTGGGCCCTTCTCCCACAGCTTGTAGTGACCCATAGAGACTGATGGTTGAGGAGGTGAGCACACATGGTACAGTCGGTATGTGCTCCATCTTTACTGCACATATTGGCTGTCCGATGGCTTGTTTGCAAGCTCTTGGACAGTCATGTACCTATTTCACCTGTCCTTGCTTCTCACCTCTCTCTATCCTTCACTCGGGTAAAGAGTATACCCTGGATAAGATGAGATGCAGTCTCCCGTGGAACATCCTGTTTGACCTGTGTATATATTGTATTTGTACTTTACAATTTTGTCTTTGTTGTTGCACAACATTTTGCCTAGAGTATAACTCTGGATGAGATGAGATGCAATCTCCCATGGAATGTCCTGTTTGACTTATGTATATGCTGTTGCTGTAGTTTTTGATTTTGTCTTTGTTGTCTCACAACATTTTGCCTAGTACAGTATAAGGCTAGTTTGTAGATTTCTCTGTTTACTGTGTTATATATTTTGTGAGAAGGTTTTTCAGTGTAGCTTATCTTAAACCATTTGTTTTTGTTGTCATTTGGTACAATATGTGGGTATATTGATTTTAAGTTCTTGGCTTTTAATTTTTAAACAACAATGCATCAGTTAACTTTGTTGTATAACCATTGTTGACAGCAGTTAGTTTTATTATATTTAATTCAGTTTCATTTTCTTCAGATGACAAGAGTACAGTGATAAACCTGTGTAACAAACTATGGAACAGAGCAAGTTTGTGAAATATTGGATGTCTTGAGGAAGTATGAATGATAGTGTCACTACAAGTTCGTTTTCTGATAATTCTGAAGGAATGTATGACAATATTTAAGTCCAAAAAATTAATGTTTCTATTTTCACCAAATCCCATGGTAAATTTAATAAATTTATTTTGCAAATTTAGAAAAGTTACAAAATTATCAAGTTGATTTTTGGAGCCTGCCCATTATCCCATTATCAACATATCAGTACCAATATTTGACATATTTTGTATTATTTTCATCACTAAACAATTTATTGTCTAAATTATCCATGAAAACTTTGCAAGCAAAGAAGAGGGGGAACTTGTAGCTAACCCATCGTTCTGTTTATATATTTTGTTATTAAATTTGAAGTAGTTATGATATAAGCAAGTGATTATTATTGTTTTTAAATTCTGGCCTTGAACAGGGTTTATTTTTTCCTTATCTGTTAAATCACTAACTTTTTTACATTCATTAACAGGTATATTGGTGGAAAGACTACAAATATCAAATGAAACAATTTTGGCATTATTTGGTATCTCTAAATTTTTAAATTTTTCTACAAGCTCTAGAAAGTTTTTATACTAAATTTAGGTTTAAAACCAGTTATGTTTTTGAAAATGTTGTGAGTTTTCTGTGCTAGCTTGATATCATAAACTTACATAGTATTGTTATTTCATTCTGACTAAGAGCTTGGAGATTAGTGAAAGTTGATAATCAGTTAATGCTTGGACTTGTTAATTAATTACATTAAACTAATTGATTATTGTCACCTGAGACTTGGATAGTTAGAATTATCACAGACACCAATTTTGACAAGGTGATTATTTTTGATTTGTGATACTACTCAATTAATTTGAACTACTTTGAATTAATTGAAAGTAATAATGAGAAATCATAATATTCATTTCTTGGATACTTGGAAACAGTAATTACAATTACCTGATTATTTTTATGATAATAATTGGTTTTTCAAAGTAATTGTCAGGTTCTAATTCAGCTGTTTAAATTCGCTCAGGTAAAACATCACAGAACAATACCTCTGATATATTTGTAAGGCCTTTTCTTGACACTTTTTATTTGAATTAATTTATCAATTTTGTAGAAAATCCCTGATATAAGATATGTACAAAATGCCTGATATAAGGTATATTCTTGTATTTATACAGTAAGGAAACTGAATTGTCTACAGGCACCATACTTCTAACTTAAAGTATCTTTACCAAACTTTAATACTGTTTTAGAAAAAAAAGAAGTTGAAATACCTACTGAAAAGTTTTTTGTTTTGAATGAAATAAAAAAAGCTTAAAACTACTTTTTATAATTTTTTTAAACGTAGGTATACATCCTACCAAAGAAAGTATTTCAGTAGAAGGTACATTGCTGTACTCTTTGCTGATAGTAACATTGAAGAAGACTGACAAATGTCATTCATCTCTTACTGTCTTGTGGAAGTGTTGTTTGAAGTTCTTTGAAAGAGGTAATTTTTATGAAACTTTTCTTTGTATGCTTGTAAAATATTAGATCAATTAGCAAATTAATTTTCAGTTAATAAATGGCCTATAAAGATTAATTATTATAGACTTTAATTAAAATGACTAGCTGATGACCAAGGGATTACTATGTTCTACTGCAATAATTGATTTTATTCTGAAAATTGCATTTCCAAGGGATAACAAGAGGCCAATTGACTTATCTTGAATATTCGATTTTGTATTGTCACCCTCTGCCAAAATTCTTGTAAAAACCCTTTTCCCTATATTGATCCATGGCTTCTAAGATACACATCCAATCTCCTCATAAACTCTTCTGTTGTAGTTTCTACCACAACTATTCCATAAACTATCCACCATGTGAAAAAAATATATGTAATACTGATTTCAAGGGAGTACATCTGAATTGTCCATATCTTAAATTTATGTCCTGTAGTTTTTACTGTATGTAGAGATTTTTATGAAAACATCATCTGAATATATAGATTTGAAAACTCTAACAATATTATAAAAAACTTAATCATGTTTCTCCCCCCTCTACTTTATTTCCATTGAATATATGTCAAGAAATTTCAACCTATTTCCATACAACTAATCCCTTCTAGGCTGAAATAATGTAGATGACTCTTCTCTAAATCTTCTCAAACAGTTCTACATCCTTTCTTAAATGTAGTGACAATATTTTAAATGATGTCTAATCAGCATGTTATAGAGTAACTGATAGCCTACTTGAACTTGTATTAATATTTCAAGGTATACATTTTGAAATCATGTTTACCTTATTACCAACTAACATGCATTACCCAGAAAACTTAAGAAATATTGTAATATCTATGGCTAAATCTTTTACCCAATCTAAATCAATTTCAGTTAGAGTTTCTTAGGAAAGCTATAAGTTAATAATGTTGTAATAACCAGTATATGTTACCTAACTTTTTACAAGATTAAAAGGCAGTCCAGCTCATCAAGTTCTCCAAATCTTTCCTCAAAACTATAGCAGCTTCAGTTAAGATTGAAATATCCATTAATTTATTACATGTAAAACTTAACCAGTTTACTTGTTATTCAGTTATCAATTTCATTGAAAATGTAAAATAGCAAAGTACTTAGCACAGAACCCTAAGGTACACCGCTTGCAAAAACTATCAACAATGTGCCATTTGATCCTTCAAGCTGTCCTTGCACCCCAACTTTTAAGATAATAAAAGTTTATCCCTTTGTTTTTCAAGAAATCTTATTAACCTTTGTAAAGTGCTGGCCTCTACTAATAGCTTCCAATATCAAGTCATTCTATAAACCAATCCCCATGTTATTAAAATATAAGTGTTAACTGGAGCATAGCCCTCTTTTCTAAACCTAAGACTTGTATCCATCCTCCTGTCTCATGAAACAAGACTTACATTTTTAAAAGGATTGAGTTGCTGATGGGTGATGAATTAGAATTCATCTTTGGTTTCAGTTTCAAGATGGCCATTTGCATAGAGACATTTCAACTACTCTGTGAATTTCACTTGAATATGACTTCAGGGAAAGCCAAAAGCTTATTGAAGAATTAAAGGCCTTGATTCAACTACTCATAAATATTGTTACACTGAGCTGACTAATTTATTTCTTGAGTCACCTACTATGCTACTCCACTCATACATAACTCATGTAACATAAAATTACCAACTTTACAAAAATGTGCATCATTTATATGTAATGATAAAAACTTTGACTTGTTTTATCCATAAACAAAACTTTAATTTTCACATTACAAGTTCTGTATCAATTGATTCATCTTAGGCCTAAATACCTACCCCAATCCTCTAAAGATGTCTTTTACATGGCACTTTACAAAATTAAGCTTTCATAAATCTAAGTACACCAAATTTACAAGATTGCCCATATCTATAATTAAATGCAACATTTTCAAAGAAAGTTAATAAATTTGTAAGACATGATCATCCACTTCTAAATCCACACTACCTGTAATAATATTGTTGCGTCATCGAGATTCGTCACTGTAGTCATGTAATAATACTTCTGACTGCAGATCAATTACTCACTATCTACACACACATTACCTTCCCCTCTTTTATATACCAGCCTACCCTATATCTAGCAAATACTAGAGCATTCGCCAAGATACGGGATAGTTCTAGAAACGTGGGACACAAATTCTTTACTTAATAAAACTGGTTTATTCTTTCCGAATACAACTTTACCGATACACTCAACTACAACAATCGCGCTAAACAAACGCTATAACAACGAACGTGCTCGTATCAACTGACAAATGCTCACCATGATTGTCACTCGTTTTGTCAAATAGTGTTAACCTAGTCGTAAAGTTCGTGTCTTAAAAAATATATTTTAGATCATGTTAGTGCTATTTCTTTTCGTATTATAGAAATTTGGTATTGCATATTTACTTTTATGAGGACGATTTAGTTCGTATACTTATTTTAATTCGTAAATACTATAGCTACTTTCACTCGGTATCAACTGACAAACGTGCAGTACACCATGCTTGTCACTCGTTTTGTCACAACTCAGTGTTAACTATAATTTTGCCATGGTGAAGGAAACATAACAGTTTACGTTCAACAGTAAAAATCGCGCTTTTCTTAAGTTTATTTGAGAATACACTAATTATGATGAAATGTTGTCATACGTGTTATACAATTATAGCTCAGGTCAACTGTCCCTATAACTCTTAACAGTCTAAGACTTACTTTTAGTAGTGTCACTGGTATTGTGTAACATACCATTAATTGACTTATAAATATTACTAAGCAAAATGTGTATTTTAAACGAATAATAACATTATACAATGTGAATTATTTCATTTCATTTTGGCCAGATACTTAAAAATTGATAAAATAATATATGGTTGTTTATTTTAACTCCCGAAGCAAGTACTGCTACTACATTATAAAATTCTAATGTGGCTAATTTTTGTCATGCTTGCTAGCTTTCAATAATTTTGGTTTCACATCAGGTTTACTTTGAGTACATGTCTATGTGTTATTTTAAAATGTTATGTTCTTGTGCCTGTTCTTCTAACCTACAAATTTTTTATCTTATATAAACTATAATATTAACTACAGTAATAGAACTAGTATGTGATTTTATTTTATAAATAGTTGGTTGTTGCTTTTGTTTTACTGAAATACATATAATGTATTATGGCTATATATAAAAATTCTGTTAGATTTTGTTAATTGTTCTAAATTATATTATTTGTTTGTACTTGATTTTTAGGTTTTTGTTATGGTATGCATAAAAGTTGATCTAAAAATATGGCAAATATGTTATTATCATTTTGAAATTTTAAACATATTTGTGTAGAATAATTTGTGAATGGTAAGTTAATTAAAGATGATTTACTATATCAGTTATTATTGTCTTTTATAGTTGTGTAATAGTTCATTCTTTAGATGTCTTCATGACTAATAAAAGTGTCTTAAATTCTAGAGTAGATATGTACACGAGATTGGTTTATAGATGGAAAATAATCATGTGATTTAGTTGTTGTTTAATATATACTTTTCTCATCATATTTTGTAGCATTTGTGTTAAATTTGTTATTGAACAATAAATTATATTACTGATCTAAAGTTCAGTATTCATATGTTTTTATTTAAAGTACCTTATGCCACTCCTCCCCTCTTTAATATTATATCCCTATTAAATAGCTTGTAACCTTGTATTTCAAAGAAATTTCTGTCATCAAAATCATCAGCATTTAACCATGTTTTGGTTATTCACATTATATCAAAATCCTCTATTCCTACTAGTTCTCCAAAGTCATCTATTTTATTTCCTATACTTCTAGTATTACATTAGTAACAATTAAGCCTTCTCTTAGAACTACTTTTATACTCATTTCCTGTGCTAAACTTTTCTTTTCCTCTTATTCTTTTTGTATTTAGTTTTTCCTGGCCCTCACAACTGTCTAGTCCTAGTTTGAAACTTTTTTTACAGCTGAGTTAATAGGTTTGGCAAACAAACCAGCACCTATCCTGTTTAAAAGTAAACCTTCCATTCCAAAAAGGCTCCTTTCTTCCACTGAATTGATCCCACAAGTCCAACCTGCCAATCTTCTCATCTTTACATACTAACCTAAGCCTAGCATTTAGCCCTCATGACCTACTTATAACTTTATCCCCACAGTTAATTCTGGGCAGTATTCCTGACAAAATTAAGTTAAGACCTTTTTCTCTAAATGCCTTTATCAACCCCTTGTACTTATGATAGGGATTAGCAGTTTAAAGTGGTAATTACTGAAGTGTAAGATGTGAACTGTCACTACTTACTCTAAACATATAATTGCAATACATAATTATTTTGTCAATTATTAAACACATAAAAAAACAAGATAATTATGATAGTTCTAGTCAAAAAATTTAAAAAAATTGACATGTCACCTTGTCTCATACAAACACCTCCCATGTATATAATTTTGATATTAAGAAAAGATGGTACTGTTCACTACCAATTTGTTTAATCTGTACATTATGAATTCAAAACACTAAATTTAAGGTATATATAGATCAGAAATAGATATTGAAGTCAATAACAATATCAAAATGGTTAACATGTGTACATGAAATGAGTATATTATGTGTACATAAGTTCTGAAATGAACTTTGTTGTATTTTTAGATTAAACCTTTTTATTTCATGTGAAGGGGAATTATATTTTGGGAATAGTACAGAAGGAATAATCACTTACAATTGTAAAAAATCATATTTATTATGTTTTGTAAAAACATTTATCACTACATGCTCGCTTTGTCATTCAAGAAAGGCCCGGCATGGCCAGGTGGTTAGGGTGCTCGACTCACAATCTGTGGGTTCGAATCCCCATCACAACAAACATCCTCGCCCTTTCAGCTGTGGGGGCATTATAATGTGACGGTCAATCCCACTATTCATTGATAAAAGAGTTGGCGGTGGGTGGTGATGACTAGCTGCTTTTCTTACACTGCTAAATT